CCATCTTCCACTGGGCTGAACGAAAAACTCAAACCTGACTAGAGAGGAGCCGACCAGGAAAATACACTCAGGGCAAACCCTCCCCCAGGGCGAGGTTTTGTGTGGCACAGCCCTGGCAGTCAATGGGAAGGAAAGCCGCAACATAAGACTACAGCGCCCTCTGGTGTACCAAACCTTATATCAACACCAAAAACATCCACGTATATTCCCCAGTCCATGCATACCACACCAGCCCACAGGAACCAGCCTATGTGACCCAGGAAACCATGCCCAAGGCCTTCAGGAACAGCTCCGTGGAACTCAGCTGCAGAGCAGTGACAGTAAAACATAAAAGATTTGGGGGCGCCTGAGTGGCTCGGTCAAGCATCTGACTTTGGCTCAGGTCATGATCTCGGGGTCCTGGAATCAAGCTCCACCTCAGGGCTCCTTGCTCAGCGGGGAGTGTGCTGCTCTCTCTTCCTCTCCCCTGCCTCCCCACTCCCACTCGTGCTCTCTCTCTCTGTCAAATAAATAAATTAAATCTTAAAAAAAAAAAAAAAAAGCATCAAAGACCTGGAGTCAGACCCATTACTTTCATTTAAAATGAGAAAAAGCTGCCAGCGAGGGCCTGACAGGGCATTGCACCCAGGGACAGAGCAACAGCGAGCTGGGCCTATAGGGGGTAGCTTATGTTTGACAAGTAGGGTAAGGTTAGTTAATTTTCATGGGTTCTCTGCTGATTGGCTAATTTGGATAATTTGAGGTCTTGGGGCAAAGGAACTGTCCCTAGCTCCCTGGGGTCTGGTCCCAGGGTGATTAGGGCTGTGGACAGTAGTCCCAGAGCCCAGATGCTGATAAGGAAGCTACTGCTCATAAAAGGGAACTGATCAGCCTCTAGCCAGGGCCTCAAAACTGGATCAAGACAGCACTTAAACAAGTCATTTTACAGGGGAGGTCTGAATACACAGACAAAACTTTGATAAGGAAATAGAAAATTGCAAACAATTAAATTACAAATTGATTTTTAAAGAGATAACTAAAACTCCCTGTACATTTGAAAATTAGAAAACACATTTGCATGGAACCCAGACATCAAAGAAAATATCACAATAGAAAATAGAAAACACTTGAAACAGAATGATAATAAAGTATCACTTATCCAAAATAGTGGTACACAGCTGCGGGGGGCCTGAGAGGGTAACTGAGCCCTTACGTATTTATATCAGAAGAGAAGAAAGAATGAAAATTAGTGAGAGCTGTTCAACTGGAAAAAGAAACAGTAGAAAAAGGAATTGTAGAATAAACTCAAAAATGGTAGAGGAAATAAACAATAAGTATAAGCAGAAATTAAACACAATTTGAAAGTAAAATAGACCCACTGAAAACACAAAATTGACAAACCTCTAGGAAGATAGATAAAGAAAAAAAAGGAAACAATCTTGGAACATCCAGGAGATACAAATACAGAGCAGGGAAACAGGAGTCCCTGGGTGGCTCAGTGGGTGGAGGGTCTGACTCTTGATTTCTGCTCAGGTCCTAATCCCAGGATTCTGGGATCAAGCCCTGCATCACGCTCAGTGCTCAGTGCAGAGTCTACTTAAGATTCTCTCTCTCTCTCTGCCCCTCGCCCTCTAATAAATAAATAGATAAATGGATAGATAGTTAATAATTTTTAAAAATCCATCCTAAAATTCATATGGCATCTGAGGAAACCTGAAATGGTCAAACAATTTTGAAAAAGAAGAACAAAGTTGGAGGTCCCACACTTCCTGATTTTAAAACTTATTATAAAGGGCATTGGTTTTATATATATATACATATATGTGTGTATATATATATATATATGTAATAAAGCTACAGCAATCAAAACAATATGATATTGGCATAAAGACACACATATAGACCAATGAACTAGAATAGAGAGCCCAGAAATAAATCCCCACATATATGGTCAAATAATTTCCAAAAAAGGTGCCAGGTTCATTCAATTAGGAAAGGACAAGTCTTTTCAACAAATGGTTCTAGGAAAACTGGATATTCTCATGCAGAAGAATAAAGCTGGATCCTTAGTTTCACCATATACAAAAATTAACTCGAAATAGTTCAAAGACCTAAATATAAAAGCTAAAACTATAAAATTTTTAGAAGAAAACATAGTAAAAAGTCTTCATGACAATGGATTTGACAGTGATTTCTTGAAGATGACACTGAAGACACAGGTAACAAAAATAAAAATAGATAAAAAAACTATACCAAAATTTAAAACTTCTGTGTATCAAAGGACATAATCAACAGAGTAAAAAGGCAGTCTACAGAATGGGAGAAGCTATTTGCAAATTATATATCTGATAAGAAGTAATATCCAAAACACACAAAGAACTGCTATAACTAGACAATAGAAAAAATAACCTGATTAGGTATTGGTGGTACTGGTACAAGGATAGAAAAATAGAAACAGAATAAAGTATTCAGCAATGAACTTCAGTAACTGTTCCAGAGACAGACTATGTTTTTTATTATTTTAAAAATCTCCAATAATGTCCTACTCCCCAGAAACCTTATGTGTGAAATCCCATATGTGAAATCAGCCGGCCACCCTTAACATAACAATATAACTAGAGAGACTGCTAATGGTTAAAACCCAGAGGAGAGCTGTCTCCTCCAAATGCCCCAAGAGATACTTCATCACCTAAGATTACAATTCTTCAGGGCAGAGGCACCTGGGGGGCTCAGTCAGTTGAGTGCCGACTCTTGGCTGGGCTCAGGTCATGATCTCAGGATTGTGGGATCAAGCCCATATCAAGCCCCATATTGGGTTCCTCCCTGGGTGTGGAACCTGCTTAAGATTCTCTCTCTCCCTTTCTCCTCCACCCCTCTCAAAATAAATGTTTTTTAATTTAAAAATTAAAAAAAATAAATAATTCTTCAGGGCATATTCTCTGTACCACCTCCCACCCAACCCAACCAACACACACACAAACCACCAAATCCTGTTTCTGGAATAACCAATTCCCTCCTTCTACCTTTCAGTCAGTCCTGGCTGAGCTTCTTCCTCCTGAATTCAATGTTCTATCTCTTCTTGATTATACACAATTGGAGACACAAAACATATAAACACAGGTTTGTATATTTTTAAAGTATAAACAATTGTAATGTCTCATTTTACATACGAGGGGGACTGTAAGGGAAAGAGAGTAACAGAGACACAGTTACCACGGCACTGGAGAAGCTGACAGGATGAGTTACCATGAGGAAGGGAGTGGGGAAAAAATCATTCCTGTAGCCCTGAGAATCCTTAGGTGGGACCTGGGGAGGCAGTAGGTGGCCTCCCTTACACCCGCATGGGCACAGTGGTTCTCTTGTGAGAACATTCCAAGTAATGCTTCATATGAAATTACATTTTTTTTGAAATTACAGTTATTTTAATCATAAAACCTTTTTCATATAATTCTAAATGTACTGAAAAATAGTAGTTTAATTTAGAACAAAATGACTTTTTTCTTTCTCTGAACATATTTACAGCTTTATATAATATATGTGTGTGTGCACCTCTATGTGTACCTGTATATAAACATACTCATGAATGCAAAGACTACTTATGTGAATAATATTTACACCTATACCAGAAGCTGAAGTAATAAGTAAGGTCATGTAATAAAATCTATCTCGGTGATAAAAATCTATCCATGTAATAAAATCTATCCCAATCACAAAAGTCCTCACCCCTCATCTTTTTAGGATCCAGGCCCATTTTCCTTTATGAGGCATGCATGCATTGTTAACACTCTCGAGATAATATTTCTTTGAGTCCTTTGGCTTTTTAAAAGGGGGAAAGAAGGAGACACATTATGGATAACTGAATGCCGATAAATGACCCCTTTTGCATATAATTGAGAAGTGGGATCAGTTTGGTCAAGGTTCAGTCTAAGCTGAATTATGAAAATTAAGAAAATGTGAAATCATCCACATTTTATTACACAATATCAAAATATCACTGTACTAGTTTTCTGATGTGGCTGTAACAAATTATCACAAACTAAGTGCTTAATCAACATGAATTTATTACAATTCTGGCAGTCTGACCGAGATCAGAAATCATTTTCTAACTGGGGGTTAGTAGGGCCAGTTTCTTCTAGAAGTTCTAGGAAAGAATCTGTTTCCTTGCTTTTGCCAGCTCCTGGAGACCACCTACATTTGCTGATCATCTCATGATCTCTTTGTCTCCAAAGCCAACAGTGTATCGTCTTCTCACCTCTCACTCTTTTTATAATGACCTTTGTGATTACACTGAACCCATCAGATAATCCAGAATAATCTCCCTATCTCAAATCAAATGTACGGAATACCTTTGGAATGTAAAGGAAAACATTCATAGTTTGTGGGATTTAGGATATAAACGTCTTTAGGGACCATTATTCTATTTACCAAATCATATTCAGTAATATCATCATCGATCTCATCAGAAGACTAAGTATTGAGAAACTGTCATTGTATAGTAGCAGATACAAGTTTTCCAAGATTACAGTGTTCACCTGAAAGTTCCCACTTAATCATTAGCAATAAATACTGTCAGCTGTTTTACTTGAAATAACAGGCTCACTTCATTCATTTTCAATAAAATGTCTACAAAATACTTACTTGGATAGTTATACATTGTAAGTCATTCAGGTAAGATGGAATTCCATGTGAATAAGGATAGAGGTAACAGAATCAGTTTTCCTGCTTCATCGGGAGATGCTGAGGTACAACTGGCACTGGGATCACTTGAGAGAGGTGAGGAGAGTACAATTTTGTGTACTACCTCAATTTGTCTAAAGGTCCCAGTGGCTTTACCCCATTCCTTTTGTACCATCAGGACAAATATTACTTGAGTGAAAAGGATAAAGTTATAGTGTTATTATGAATGTAGTTTTGATATCAAGAATGCCCTGGACAGGGTCACAGAGATCTGCTGTCTGTCACCCCCAAGGGACTTAAGACCACTCTTGGAAAATTGCTATTTTTGGGAAAATTGCCACCGGATGGCAGCAGGTACAGCAGAATTTCGCCGTTTACGCTGACCGTGATTTAAGAAAGTTATTTCAGGATAAATTTAAAATTCTGTCTTTAAAGCTCAAAGACAGTATTTCTTTCCAGAAAATATACTTTGAAATATGTAACAGAATTCTGGGAAACAAGTGCTATTTAAGCTCGCAACTCAAACAAATATACTTTTGCTTGAGACAACCTCACACTGTAGAGTGAAGAAGGGCTGTGAGCCTGCTTCTCATTTTGTCATTCTTACTAACAGCTTTGATAATGTTAATTTGGTCATTTTATTAAATAAAACCAAACTTAAATATTCTACCAACTGGAATTAAAATTGCAGAGTTTGCCTACAGAAAGGATCATGTCTAAAGTTTAATGAAGCTCATTTTTTTCTTCTGAAGGTTAGATCATTGGGACACCTGGCTGGGTCGGTGGGAGGAACATGCAACTCTTAATCTCAAGGTCTTGAATTCCAGCCCCACGTTGGGTGTAGAGATTACTTAAATATTTTTTAAAACAATTTTTTTAAAGGTTACAGATCAGTCTTTTGTTTTCCCTTTCTCTTTATTAAATCTATCAGAGCTCTCAGGAAGAGCTCAACAAAGAAAAAAATTCATATCCATTGGACCTCAGCATCTCCATTCATCTTAAGGTTTTTCAATTAATGCATTTTTTATCTACTGCACAGAGAAAAGGTTTTGAGTTTTATTTATAAAACATCAAGTTTTGGGGCACCTGGGTGGCTCAGTGGGTTAAGGCCTCTGCCTTCGGCTCGGGTCATGATCCCAGGGTCCTGGGATCAAGCCCCGCATGGGGATCTCTGCTCAGCAGAGACCCTGCTTCCCTTCCTCTCTCTCTGCCTGCCTCTCTGCCTACTTGTGATCTCTGTCAAATAAATAAATAAAATCTTTTAAAAAAAAAATCAAGTTTTCATGATGAAAATCATGAATGATCCTGGAAGGCATGAGATGCAACAGTGGAGTAAATATTAGTAAACACTTATTTCTGAAGGAAAATTAGCCTAATAAAACAAAAATAAATTGCATAATTTGGAAGATAAGTAAATATGAGGTAGAATTAAAATATCATTCGAAGATAAAACGTAAGCCACCTGGAGCTCTTTCTTTCGCTCTGCCATCGTGGTGTGTGCAGCTGACTTCTTCAAAACAGCTTCTCATAAGACTTTTGGGCTCAAGGGATTCCTGACCAAGAAACAAAACCAGAATTGTCCCATTCCCCGGGGGATTCAGATGAAAATTGGTAATAAAATCAGGTATAAGTCCAAGAGGAGGCACTGGAGAAGAGCCAAGCTGGGTCTGTAAGGGATCACACATGAGATGACACATGTATTTATGCTGCATGAAAGGTCACACGCTCATATCCTGTCACTCTGTAAACATCACTTCCAGGTAGATGTTTACATGTTTTATTGGGGAAATGACTTCTTTGTTACTACACTTCTGCTCTAGTATGTTGGCTCGGTGATAAAAATGTGAGAACTTTCATTTGAAAAATAAAATAAAACAAACAGGAGAATGATCAGAACTAAAGTGTTCCACATTTTAAAAGTCCTATATTAAAACTTTATTAGTTAACTTTGTAGTTTAAATTTTAAGGGAAAACTCTAAAAGGATAGAATATAACCCCGCCCCTTTTTTTAAAGTTTTTATTTATTTGTCAGAGAGACAGAGTGCGTGAGCAGGGGGGAGAAGCAGGCAGAGGGAGAAGCAGGCTCCCCACTGAGCAAGGAGCCCAATATGGGACTCGATCCCAGGACTCTGGGATCATGACCTGAGCAGAAGGCAGAAACTTAACCGACTAAGCCATCTAGGCGTCCCTAGAATATAACATTTTAAATAAAAGAAAAAATATAAAGAATAAAAGTGTCTCCATTCAAAAGTACTATCACTACTTAAAAGACAGAATATTGGGGTGCCTGGGTGGCTCAGTTGGTTAAGCGTATGTCTTCGGCTCAGGTCATGATCACAGGGTCCTGGGATCGAGCCCCGCATTGAGCCCTGCATTAGCATGGAGCTCCCTGCTCAGTGAGAAATCTGCTTCTCCCTCTCCCCCCTGCCTCTCTCCCTGCTCATGCTCTCTCTTCCACTCATGCTCTCTCTCACGCTCTTGCTCTCTCTCAAACAAATAAATCTGAATACAAAACAAAATGGAAAACCATAATCTCACTCCGTCTGTTTTCAAATTGAATGGTAGCTCCCCCTCTGAGCACAGTAATGCAGATGTGTCCAAGGCTTCATCTAGTAGGTTCCACATCCTTTTTTTTTTTTTTTTTTTTTTTTTTGAGCTCCTGATGGTTTTCTGCTGCCCCAAAGGCCAGTCTTCCTCTTCCTCCAAGCACACAGGGCTAGCTGAGCCAGCCTGTAGCACCGTTTCTTTGGATTTAACCCTGACAATTCTTCCTCCCAACCAAGTGAGGATAAAAGACACTAGTGAATTTCCTCTTTGCATCCAAGGAACTTTATATGATACACAAGTACCTTTCTTCAAAACTTGAAGAAATAAAACAGGCAGTTTTATCTTATGATCAACTGTTTCAGTGTGAAGTCAAGAGGAGGTCAGTGTTCATCAAAGAACAAATCCAATCACCTCAAATGGATGGACGGTTAATGAAACATCTTAGTTCTCCCAAGCACAACCCTTTGATGCCAGAAGAGACCCAGACCCCAATGGCCTTATCCCCACCCAGCCCATGTTACAGTTAGACAGAGACTCACTGAGGGGAAGAAACTGCCCAGGGCATCAGCCAGAAGTGTTTTTATCCCATGAGGCAGATTTGGGAGGGTGGGGGTGGTAAGCCTTGGTCACCCTGTAGCCCACCCTGCAGTGTGTACCCTGGTGCTCTAAGGGAATGAGGCTTGGTCCTCCCACTGACCTCTGAGCCTCTGAACACCAACCTCCCTTACCCCAACCCCAACACAAAACCCAGTAGCTGGTCAGCAAGGAGGAAGAGAAAATATGTGGGCCAGTGGATAACTGCTGAAAGGCCTTTTTCTCTCCAGTCAGCTCACAGGGGACCCCATCTGAATGGCACGTGGAGGGTGCGAGCCTTGCAGCCTATCAGAGCCAAGCAGGAGCCACCAGGATGAGCCTCAAAGGGGTTGTGCTGGGTAGGGTGAGCAATGCCTTCAAACATGGCTCAACACTGAGACCAGTAGGAGAGGAGAAACAGCTGCCGCTGTTGCCAGCAGTCACCCCGGCAGTAGAGCTCCTTGTCCCATTGCCCTTGCTTCCATCTTAACCCTTGGGTGAATGGAACAACTTGGGAGAGTTTAGATGAGAGTATATGGTTGATCCAACATTGCTCATCGCTTTCCTCAAATTTCTCCAATAAAGAATGCCAAAAACTAGATCAGGGCTGGGGAAACACTCCTGCCTCTTTTTTTTTTTTTTTTTAAAGATTTTATTTATTTGACAGACAGAGATCACATGTAGGCAGAGAGGCAGGCAGAGAGAGAGAGAGGAGGAAGCAGGCTCCCCGCAGAGCAGAGAGCCCGATGTGAGGCTCGATCCCAGGACACTGGGATCATGACCTGAGCCGAAGGCAGAGGCTTTAACCCACACTGAGCCACCCAGGCGCCCCACACTCCTGCCTCTTAATCATTGCTGTACCTAATTAGTAGAAACATATATGTAACCAAGTAAACTTATGAGTTTACTTGTTGAATCAATTATGGAGACCAATTTCAATGACTTTGGTCCGGAGATAGACTTTAGGAAGTCCCCCAAATTGCCCTACTCCCCAGGCTGTAGCCCTGTTGGTGAAATTGCAGTTGTTTGACCCTGGGAACCACTATTTAAAAAAAAAAAAGAAAAAAGAAAACAATGGGAGACTGTTGATGAGCAGCAGAGTTTCCATGGAACAGCAACTAGAGATCAAAGAAGAAGGGTCCTTTCCATACAGCTAGATACTAACATGTTTTATCACCCCAGGATTACAATTCTGCAGAGCGCATACTCTGAATACTCCCATTCCCCTTCCCCAGGACTACCACCCAACACACACACACACACACACACAAGGTCCACCCTCCAACCCTGACTTTCTACCTTTAGGTCCGTCAGCCCTGGATGAGCTTCTTCTCTCCTTTTTTTTTAAGCAGATTTTTTAAAAAAGATTTTGTTTGACAGAGAGAGAGATCACAAGTAGGCAGGGAGGCAGGCAGAGAGAGAGGGGGAAGCAGGCTCCCTGCTGAGCAGAGAGCCCGATGCGGGACTCAATCCCAGGACCCTGAGATCATGACCTGAGCCGAAGGCAGAGGCTTAACCCACTGAGGCACCCAGGCGCCCCAGCTTCTTCTTCTCCTTAACCGGAGGTTCTATCCCTTCCTTGTTACACACAGTTGTAGGCAGAAAACACACAAATTCACATCTGTTTATTTAAAGAGTATGTTTTTATCTCAGCATGCAAATAAGTTGGGAAATGGCAGTACACTCAGTACAAGCCATTTTTATACTGCCATTTTATATATGAGAGAGGAGTAAAGAGTATCACAGGAATTACTACTACAGAGAGTGAGTTACCACGGCCCTCAAGGCGACATGTGGAGTCAACATGAGGAAGGAAGTTGGAAAAAACAAATTTTACTCCTGTAGCCCTGAGAATCCTTAAGTGGGACCTGGGGAGGCAGCAAGTGGCTGTGGAGACCGGAAAACAGGCTGCTGAGGGGCACCATGCTCTGTCACTGCCATATTTTTTTGGTCTAGGGGAAAAGGAAAAACAAAAACAAATGTCAGAAAATAATGGCATCATAATGACCCAAATAATGGGGCCTCAATGTGCAAAACTCAGGCTTGCAAAAAAGGAAAATGAGACTATTGGGAAGCAGTGGGAGAAACTCGAGGCCGTATTCCTTTAGGGTTACTCCCTCCTCCTCACTGTCCCCAGCTGTCAAACACTGTCTCTCCCATCCCTGAGGAACAGATACCCCTTTTCTCACTCTCCCCCAGCCTCCTCCAGCCTGCCACTTCCCTGACACTCCCACATCAGCACTCAGTCCCAGAATATGCTCACATGTTAGCCCCACAGGCTCAGGACTGGGATGTACTAAGCCTCCCTGAGCCAGAATTCAACGTAGAGAGGGAGATGGAATTGGAATGGCTGAGCATTTACCTTACACCCACATGGGCACCGTGGTTCTCTCGTGCCATAATAGTTGAGAACATTCCACGATAAGAAGTGATATCTAATATAAAACAAAATACATTTTTAATCAAAAAACATTTTTCATATGTTATCAAAGGTACTTTAAAACAAAATGTAGAGGGGTTCCTGGCTGGCTCGGTTGGTAGAGCACATGACTCTTGATCTTGGGGTTGTAAATTCAAGCCCCACATTGGGTATAGAGATTATTTTAAAATAAAAAAATCTTCAAAAAGAAGTTATGCAGTGAATATTAACTTTTGGGGTGCCTGGGTGGCTCAGTCATTAAGCATCTGCCTTTGGCTCAGGTCATGATCTCGGGGTCCTGGGATTGAGCCCCGCATCTGGCTCCCTACTCAGTGGGAAGCCTGCTTCTCCCTCTCCCACGCCCCCCCCCCACTGTGTTTCCTCCCTCACTGTCTCTCTCTGTCAAATAAATAAATAAAATCTTATTTTAAAAATAAAATATTAACTTTTGCCCTTTTCTGAAAATATTTAAACTTCATGTAATAACAAAAAAAGATAGTGAAGATATTATCAAGCAAAAGTGTGTGCGTGTGTGTGTTAGCGTATGTGTGTGTGTGCCTATATACATATACGTTGGGTACAAAAATTATTACATAAGCAATCCTCACCTACACAATGGCTGAACTATAATAATCAAGTGTAATAAGAGTTATCCATGGTACAATAGTAGTCTCGATCGTAAAACCCTGCTCCTTTTTAAGTTTTTTGAAACTGGGCTCATTTTACTTTATGAGACAAACATACGATGTTAGCAATTCTAAGATGAATTTGAATATCTTGGTTTATTTAAGGAGACAATGAAGAGGTGTTGTAATCAGTTACTGAGTGCTGGAAAAGGATCATTCCTGCACGTAATTGAGAAGTGGAACTGATTTGGTCCAAAGTGTCGCTCAAGCTACATTAAGCATATTTTAACACACAAAACTGATTTTTGAATCATGAAACAGGGGTGTCTGGGTGGCTGAGTCAGTTAAGTGTCCAACTCTTGATTTCGGCTCAGGTCACGATCCCAGGGTTGTGAGATCAAGCCCTGCATCAGGCTCAGCACTGGGCGTGGAGCCTGTTTGGGATTTTCTCTCTCCCTCTCCTGAGGCCCCTCAACCGCCTCTCTTTTTCTTAAAAAAAATTTTAAAATAGAATCATGAAACAACGAAATGCATTTTCCACTTTGAGAGTAACATCATTTATTCATGGGCAAATCTGCTAATCAACTAAGTTTTGCAAATAAGGGAATAACCACATTAGAATTATACTATTAAAACTCACCCATTTGATATGTTTTAAAATGCTTTAGCTTCTTTCAGCTTCTCTAAGAGTTTCTGTCTGGTGCTTCTATTGCCTCCAGAACTGTCACTCCAAACTCACTGTCACATCCTCATCTGCATACTAGGACGTCTCATGGGTTGTGTGCTATGAAGTAATGTAAGCAGTTTTTAGTTCAATCTTATTTTCTACCTAACATTTCGATTCAGAAGTTCAAAATGAATTTGGAAGACCCAAAGAATATCATCATTCTTAGATGTGTGGAAAATTTATATATGAAAATATATTCCTTCTCATGAAATTGAGAGCCAAGTTTCAGAATTCTTACATAGGATCACCAACAATATCAAGATGATCACCAACAATATCTTTCCCATGCACCTTATGATTTAGCAGTCAGTTTATTATATAGAGCTTGGACTATCTGGGGAGAAAATCTTACTTTAACCTAAACCTAGAAAAATTCACATAATTAGTTTCATGATAAAGATATTACCCCAGTTGGGGTGCCTGGGTGGCTCAGTGGGTTAAAGCCTCTGCCTTCGGCTCAGGTCATGATCCCAGGGTCCTGGGATCAGGCCCTGAGTCCAGCTTTCTGCTCAGTGGGGAGCCTGCTTCCCCACCTCTCTCTATCTGCCTACCTGTGATCTCTGTCAAATAAATAAATAAAATCTTAAAAAAAAAAAAAAGATATTACCCCATTTGTTACATCATAGGGCAGATCTTTATTACTGTTCTTGCCCCTAAGCTAAAATGTAATACTACATTTTGGCAGTTATTTTAAGAGCCATAGCCTGATTGATTAAAAGCATGTATCTCCTTGTTATCACAGAGTTCAGAATTAAAAAGTTAAAAACAGATATAATGTACTCATTTAAAATAAACTGAAAGTTGGGACACCCAGGGGGCTTAGTCAGTTAAGCATCCGACTCTTGATTTCAGCTCAGGTCACCATCTCAGGGTCGTGAAGACTGAGCCCCGTGTCTGGCTGTGTTGGGTGTGGATCCTGCTTACGATTCTTTCTCTCTCCCTCTGCCACACACACCCCTGCTTGTGTGTGCACGCAAGTGTTCTCTCTCTCTCTCAAAATTAATGAGGCACTTGTTGTAATGAGCACTGGGTGATATATACAACTGATGAATCACTAATTCTACTTCTGAAACTAACTAAATAAATAAACTCAATGTCATATATGAAAACTAAATACTAATATTGAGTTGGGCCAAAAATTTGTATGTGTATATGTATAGTATAGTGGTTCCCAAAATGTGGTTCTAGGATCCCTGATGTGCTCCAACATTCTTTCAAGGGGTCCGATATTTTTGTAATACTACTAAGTTAAATAATTTTAACTTTTCTTTCTCTAAAAAGTATATAGTGAGAGACTCCTGGCTGGCTCAATTGGAGAAACATGCGACTCTTATTTTTGGTGTCATGAGTTCGGGCCCCACATTGGGTGTAGAGATTACTTACATTTTTTTTTTAAAGGATACTACCACAAAAGTAAAAAGAGAAGCCACAGAATGGGGAAAAAATATTTGTAATTCATATATCTTGATATGGGACTTGTATCCAGAAAATATAAAAATGTTGGGGCGCCCGGGTGGCTCAGTGGGTTAAGCCGCTGCCTTCGGCTCAGGTCATGATCTCAGGGTCCTGGGATCGAGCCCCGCATCGGGCTCTCTGCTCAGCAGGGAGCCTGCTTCCTCCTCTCTCTCTGCCTGCCTCTCTGCCTGCTTGTGATCTCTCTCTGTCAAATAAATGAATAAAATCTTTAAAAAAAAAATGTTTATGACTCAGTAAGAAGACAAATAACCAAATATAGTATAGGGAAAGGAGCTAATACACATTTCTCCAAAGAAGAGATACAAACAGCTAATTGACGTGAAAAGATATTCAACATCATTAGCCATTAGGGAACTGTAAATCAAAACTCCAATGATTTACAACTTCACATCCTCTAGGATGATTATAAACAAAAAAACAAATAGTAAGAACTGTTGGCAAGGACTGACGAAATTGGAATCCCCATATGTTATTAGTGGGAATGAAAAATGATGCAGCCACTTTGGAAAACAGGCAATTTCCCAATTAAAAAGAATTACCAGGGGCACCTGGGTGGCTCAGTCATTAAGTGTCTTCCTTCGGCTCAGGTCATGATCCCAGGGTCCTGGGATTGAGCCCCGCATCAGACTCCCTGCTCAGCGGGAAGCCTGCTTCTCCCTCTCTCACTCCCCCTGCTTGTGTTCCCTCTCTCACTGTCTCTCTGTCAAATAAATAAAATCTTAAATATATATATACATTAAAACATAAGTGAATAAAAAGGGTTACCATATGACCCAGCAATTCCACACCTAGGTATACACCCAAGAGAATTAAAAACATATACCCACATAAAAACTTGCACACGAAGGTTCATAGAAACATTATTCATAGTAGCCAAAATGGAGTAAACAATCTAAATGTCCCTGAAGTAATGAGTAGATTAAAATGTAGTATATCCATACCATGGAATAATAGTCAACTATAAATAGGAATAAAATACTACTACATGTCACATCATGGATGAGCCTTTAAAACATTATGACAAGTGAAAAAAAAAGTCAGTCACAAAAAAACAGGTATTATTCCTGTTTTATATATGTCCAGAAGAGGCAAATCTATATAAAGGCAGAAAGATGGTTATATAGGGTTGGGGCAGAAAAGAGTGAGAGAATAGTGAGTGACTGCTAACGGGTATGAGGTTCCTTCTGGAGGTGATGAAAATGTTTCTAAAACTGTAATAATTGGGGGAGGTGGGTGAAGGGATGGGTTAAATGGGTGATGGGTATTAAAGAGGGCATTTGCAGTGAGGAGCACTGGGTGCTGTATGTAAGTGTTAAATCACTAAATTCTACTCCTGAAACTAAAAAATAAAATTGTGATAATCATTGCACAACTCTTTGAAAATACAAGAAGCCACAGAATTGTACATTTTAAAAAGCTGAATTTAGTAGTATGTGAATTACATCTAAATGAAACTATTAAATATATACAAAAGTCAGCACCCCTATTATGACATGATCTGTCCTTAATATTCTAACTTCATTTCCCACTATCTCCCCTTTCTTTCCAGTCTACCTTTACTTCAAAGATGCCAAGCACGTTGCTGCCTCAGGTCTTTTACATTTGGTGTTTCCTGCTTCAAATACTTGTCTTTCAGATATGTAAACTGTCTCATTCCCTTCAAGTTTTTACCAAAAAATTACTTTCCCATTGTTATCCAAATGAAAAATTCAACCCCCTTATACGCTCTCTCAATCTTCACTCTGCTTTTCTTTTTCTTCACATTTTTTGATATTTAAAATACTAAATATTCTATTTTCTTACTTATTTTCTCATACTTTTATCTCTTCTTGGCCTTTTGGCAAAGACCAAGTGTTATTTTCTCATACTTTTAAATATTAGCTAAATGAGTGTAAAAATTTTGCCTGATTGTTAAATACTATACATTCAGCACATAGAACAACATCATACATACAGAATCTCAAAACTGTATGTTGAGAGCATATCTTTACAATATAAGTGGTTTATATATAAAGGTATAAGAAAAACACTAAGACTTCAATATTGGGGAAAAGGAAAAAAGGTAACTCACAAAAAAGGAAATGCAATTAGTAAAAAATCATGACAGAATAATTTCAATATTACAGCAAATGGAAAATGTAAAAAGTTATCTGAGATACCATTTTAGTCTATCATATTCACCATAGTTTAAATGGTAATAAAATCATGCTAATGCTATGTATCAAATGTCTTAAAATGATCAAGTAATCCCATTTCTGGTTATCTTTCTTTCAAAACAATCCAGGGGCTCAGATGGTTAAGCATTCGACTCTTGATTTCGGCTCAAGTCATGATCTCTGGCTCAGAAGACTGAGACCTGTGACTGGCTCCAAGTCGGCAAGGAGTTTGCTTGAGGATACTCTCTCTCCTCTCCCTCTACCCCTCTCCGCCCCCACCCACTCAGGTCACACTCTCTCTAAACTAAATTTTTTACAAAAAAAAAAAAAAAAGAAGAGCGCGTGGGTGGCTCAGTCAGTTAAGCATCTGTCTTCAGTTCAGCTCAGGTCATAATCCCAGGGTACTGGGATTGAGCCCCGCATCTGGCTCCCTGCTCAGTGGGAAGCCTGCTTCTCCCTCTTTCTCTCCCTTGCCCCTCCCTGGCCCCTCTCATGCTCTCTCTCACGCATGTTCTGTTTCTCTAGTAAATAAAAATTCTTAAAAAAAAAAAAAAAAAAGGAAAGGAAAAGAAAACAATCCAAAGACAGAAATGACTTTATGTACAGATGAATATAGAATGCCAAAACAGAGAAAACAAATGAAATCCCAACAATAGTGAAACACTTAAACTGAGGAACAACAACTATATTAAGTTATCAAAATTATATTTCTAAGGCACCTGGCTGGTTCTGTTGGTAGAGCATGCAACTCTTGATCTCAGGGCTGTAAGTTCAAGCCCCACGTTGGGTGTAAAAGGATACTTAAAATAAATCTTTTTAAAGAAATTATGTTTCTGAAGATTATATATAATAAATGAAAATGCTTACATATGTAATGAAACAAAACACACCATAAAGCTCTACAAAGTGATCATACTATATAATTAAACTATAATGACTTGATTGAATATCACAGAGCCACAAAGAAATTATGATACTGCTACAGGGCAATTTACCAATTTAAAATGCACATATACTTTCAAATATAAATCTTTTCCTAGAAATTCAAGGTGTGACCAATTCTCCTACATAAGAATTTTCATTCACTGATTCAACAACTTATACTGAGCATCTCTTACATGATTGGCAGTGTGCTGGACAATGGGGATTTAAAGATGAATTATTATCTCAGGATAAAAGACCATAGATCAGTGGGGGAGGTAAAGAAAGGATAGCATAATATTTGGAAAAGAGTTGGATAGAATTTTGTTCTACAGTTGAAAAGTAGCTGTTAACAATGTTTTCTGAGAAAGTCGATATTTGGGAGCTATATTGGCCAGATAAAGAATGCATAAGCTAAAGACTATTTCCCAAGGTAAAGAAAACCATGGAGCCAGAGGGAAGGAGTGGAAAAAGGACAGACATTTTTTTTTAAAGATTTTATTTATTCATTTGAGAGAGAGAAAGACAGAGCACAAGCAGGGGGAGGGGCAGAGGGAGAAGGAGAAGCAGACTCCCGGATGATCAGGGAGCTGGACGTGGGGCTCAATCCCAAGACCTGGACATCACAATCTGAGCTGAAGGCGGACGCTTAGCCGACAGAGCCACCCAGGTGCCCTCCAGGACAGACATCTTGTTTGAAGATCGTAAAAAGTTTATTGTGGCAGAGCATAATAATGGTAATTGAGAGGTAATCGTTCTCACATTGAGATGAAGAACATGGATAAAAACAGAATCCTATATATATTTTATGTTTAAAAAAATAAAATTAATAAAAAAAGTAAATAAAAGTTAATTGATTAATTAATTAAAAAACAAAAACAGAATCCTACCAGATGAACTACTGTTTACTTCATGATAAACACTTTACTAAGCATATATCTACTGTTTGTTTCTGAGGTAGTTTGTTTCACCATCTTTCATATGCTGATAGGGAGCCTGAGATAGGCACAGATTAGCAGCCATGCCAACAGCATAAAGCTGGTAAGTGATGGGAGTCTAGATTAATACCCAGTGCCTGAGCTCTGAGCTATCTTTTCTTCTCCTCAGATCTGGCTAAGAAGAGTCAGCCCATATCACTTCAGGACCCCAACCTCTCCCGAAAACAAGTATCGATACATGCAAAAATTTGACCAGACTGCAAAGTAATTAAGCCAAATGAAAAATGATGGTCTAGGGATGCCTGGGTGGCTCAGTTGGTTAAGTGTCTGCCTTTGGCTCGGGTCATGATCCCAGGGTCCTGGGTTCAAGCCCCACGTCCGACTCCGTGCTCAGTGGGGAGCCTGCTTCTCCCTCTGCCTGCTCCTCCCCATGCTTGTGCTTTCTCTCTCTCTGACAAATAAAATCTTAAGAAAAAAGAAAAAGAAAAAGAAAAATCTGGGTCTCAAAAGATTACAAACTATAAGATTCCATTTTTATAACATCTTCGAAATGACAAAATTACAAAGACTAAGACCAGGTTAGTGGTTGTCAGGTGTTCTCTCATGTGGCCCTTAGAAACATTCTATGAGGTACAACTCCCATTTCCTTGGTATCTTTTGAGTTTCTGATGGTTTTCGTCTACCTCAAAAGTCATTCTTTCTTTTCTTCCAAGAACGCTGCTACAGCTCCTTCTTGGAGGTTAATCCTAGCAGATCTTCCTTCCAATCAGTTAAGGATAGTAGACACCAGCCAATTTTATCTTTGCACTCAAGGGACCTTATATAGGCTCACACACAATTTTTCTCAAGCTCTTTAGAGCCAAATATGCATTACTTTCTAATTATTAACAAATGTATCATGTGAAGTCAAGAAGAGACCAAAATGGGACGCCTGGATGGCTCAGTCGGTTAAGTGGGCTCAGGTCATGATCCCAGGATCCTGGTATCCAGCCCCGCGACAGCATCGGCTCTCCGCTCAGCTGGGAGCCTGCTTCTCCCTCTACCTGCCGCTCCCCCCCCTTGTGATCTGTCATTCTTTCACTCTGACAAATAAATAAAACCTTAAAAAAAAAAAAAAAAAAAAAAAGAGGCCTAATGTTCCTCAAAGGGCAAATGCAATTACTGCAAAGGGGATCAATGGCTGATTACCGATCTTAATCCTCCCTGGCCCTCCATAAACCTCAGAAGCCAGGTAAGATTTGGGCTCCAACAGCCCCGCCCACACCCCTCAGTCCACCCCCAGCTACTGAGTCACTGAGGGGGTAAAAGGGCACAGGGTCCCCAGCCAGGGGATTCCTATGCCCTGAGGCAGATTGGAGGATGGGGGGAATGAGTTCAGGTCACAAGACAGTTGACCCTCAGCAGGACTGCTCTCCAGCCTTCCAGTGCTCCAAGGCAGGTGAGAGCTGCTGCCTGGGGCCCATGGCCTCCTCTTACCCACATCCCAGAGACTGGTTGCCCGCCGCTCCCCAGCCCAGTTACCTGTCAGTACCCAACGAGCCTGAAAAGGAACACGGTGGCAGTGGGCAGTTAACGGTTGCCTCAGCTCTCAGGTCGCAACTGGGGGCGCATCTGAGCACGTGCTTAGCACAGCCAATCAAAGGCAAGGGAGGACTGATGGCCGCCTCTGAGTGGCTGGCCTGAAGGCGCGAGATTCACAGCCAATCAGAGCCAGATGAGCTCGAAGTTGCGCCTCCCGGGGGCGCGTCCTTCGACATCCTGCCCAGACAACTGCGGAAGGGACGTTGGGGTGACGTGCTAGGGGTGCCAGCCTTGTGGCCAGTGAAGGCCAAGAAAAGGCAAGTCTTAGGGGTTCACGGGCGAGAGCCACGGGAACATCTACAGGTCTCACCCTTATGCTCTGTCAGGCCTCAGCGCTGAGAATAAATAATAGGAGGCTGAGAACTACATAAGATCCAGCCTGTTTCACGCTGTTCCTTCTGCCATAGATACCCTCTTGCGTTCCTTCCCAGTTGACTTCAGTTCTTCATCCAAAGACCAACTCAACGCCACTTTCTCCCTAAGCTTCCACCAGCCTGGGAGGATCTGACCTGTAGTCATCCTGCACTGAGATTGCCCTGCGTTGAGAGTTTGTCACACAGCCAGGAAGTGGGGGCAGAAATGCAGAGAAACGACTTGCAAGGTCTTTGGGGTCAGGGGCCGAGCTTCATTCACAGCTAGGTTTCACAGCCTCCGTGCTGAGTGACCTCAGGGAAGAGAATGGACCTCTCTGTAATCAGCTGTCTCATCAGTAGAAGGGAGGAAGATGGACAAGACTTCATTAGAGTGGCTGGACTGTCAGGCAGATAAACCTGACAAAGGGTCTTGTCACTTCCCTAACCTGAATGCGAGAAGTTCAGGAGCTGAGGAGTGGGAGGGGGATTGAGTGCACCTTCTGTTACCTAAAGGCATTTTGGGAACAGGCACTTCCAGATTTGGGGCAGCTCAAGCAGGCATTGGCAGAAGTGGACAGAGCAGATGGAAGCCCCAGGAAGTGTTCTGTAGCATGAAGAAAATGGCTTGGGGCAGAGTGAGGTCGCCATACCAGGAGGAACAGGAAGGAGGGCCCTCCTCCAAGGAGTGCTGAACAAGAAGACCCTTCTGACTTTATCCCAGATTCAGGACCTGGGACTGAGAAGGGAGCAAGTTCTGCAGTAGTTTCCCCTCAGGATTGTGAGTATTTTTGTCTCTGAAATGAGAGGACTGGGCTAGACATCTCACGGGGGACAACTGGCCTGTAGAGGGCAGCTGAACTTTGGAAGCCCAACATTCCCAGACCCTTTCACTGTCCATCCTTGACCTCATGACTTTCATCAGGAGCACCTCCCACCCCACTCCTATATCCTCTACAATTTGTCTCAGTGTCTCCTTCATTTTCAACATACTAAATACTAAAATCTCTCTGTCCCTTAAGGACCAGACTTTAATATTCTCAAGAGTGGCTGTTCTTTCTCAAACATTCCCTGGTTCCAGCGGATTTGGTGGAGAAAATGATGACCTCCTTGCAGCTCATTTCCCCTTCCCAGTCATGTCTCTGCCCTCCTCCCTCAAATGCCCATCTCCTCTGAAATGCAGGCCCTCAGACTCTGCCACCACTACACTGCAGTCATATCTACTGACAATCTGCCAATCCCTTCATTCACTGAACACTCTTCTTCACCTGGCTTACAGTCTTGCTCCTTCATTACATTACTTTACATCGTGCTTTTCAGCCATGATCACTTACGTTCACTCCAGTACCTTGGACCCAGTTCCTCAACTTCATTGTCAGCAATCCTTTCTGCATCTCATTGGGTCGATGTCTACTTTGCCATCTCTTTCATGTCCATTTCAAGCATCCTACCCCCCAGAAACCACTTTCTATTTTCCTACCACTTGTCCTAATAGCTCTTAGCTCTTCTCCAGTAATGCCCTGATCCCTTTGCAGACTCCAACTTATTGGTTCACCACTCTTTTTTTTTTTTTTTTGAAAGAGAGCTTTTTATTACTTTTATGTACAGAAAATTCAACAGCGGCCACTTAGCCCAGTTTGGTGGCCAGTTCTTTAGCCTTTGCATTTTCCAGCATGGCAATGTGAACCACCAACTTTGGACCCAAGGTGCTGCCTCCCCAGACACAGAAGATCTCACCATATCTGTCATTGGAATTGGTCCTGATTGCTTTCACCAGCTTAGCCAAAGCTCGTTTGTCTTCCAAGTTAACTGTGTGAAGGCAACAGTGGTACAGAACTTCCTGTGGATCGGAAGCCTGGCCTCCTCCTTGACAGTGTGGTAGGGAACCTCTATCTCATGACACAGAGCAGACAGGAAGACAGCTCCACCTCAATGGGATCCACATGATGTGCAATCTTTACCAGCTGAGCCTTCTTGTTTTCCACTAAGGTGGTGACAGTATTAACCCAAGCTCAAAAGACAGGGGACCTCTTAGTTGGGACATCCCCTTTGCTGGGACATCCCCTTTGCTGGCAGCTTTCTTTTCAACAATTTTCAACAACCAACAATTTCCGCTTTTTCTCCTGCTTTTCTCTGGTCTGTATTTGGGCCAGCTTAAGCAGTCGAGTAGCTGTTTGGTGGTCCAAGGCCTGGGGGAACTGGTTAATCACAGGAGACACTTTTGGACGTTTTATAGAGACTAGCTCTTTGCCATTACAACCAGATGTCATGGGGGCATTTGACAAAGTGGTTGAAGTCCCTTTTGGCTGGATGTCCTGTCCAATGCTAAGATTCTTGGTATTTTTCTTGGCAAATATTCTTAAAATATGAAAATTCTCATTGATAAGGGAGGTAGAAGCAAACAGTCACTCATACACTTGTGAGAGGCCTGGGTCACCCTATTTATAGGGAAATTTGAGAATATGTATTAAAGGCCAGAAACATGTACTATTTGACCTAAGAATTCTACTTCAAGGTAGTTTTTCTTTTGGAATGGATTAGAACTAATCATTAAGATTAATGTAAAGGAAGGCACCTAGGTGGCTCAGTTGGTTAAATGTCTGCCTTTGGCTCAGGCCGTGATCCCAGGGTCCTGCTCAGTGGGGAGCCTGCTTCTCCCTCTCCTTCTGCCCATCCCCCAGCTTGTGCTCTTTCTCTGTCAAATAAATAAAATCTTTTAAGAAAAGATTAAAGGAGAGACACGTGGGTGGCTCAGTTGGTTGAGCACCTGGTTTCAGCTCAGGTCATAATCTCAAGGTGGTGTGATCAAGCCCCACGCTCAGCAGGGAGTCTGCTTGAGATTTTCTCCCTCTGCACCTCCTACCACCCTGCTTGCTCATGCTCTCTCTCTCTCTAAAATAAAATAAATAAATAAAATCTTTAAAAAAGAAGATTAATGTAAAGGAAAGTCATGGCAGCAGTATCAAAACAGTGAAAAGTCTAAAGGCCAGGCCAAATAAAAAGAATGAATCAGCTGATTATGAACACTCACAACATAGTATATTATACAGTCTTTAAGCTACTGATCTGGAAGATCAGTAAATGAGAACGTTCTCCCAGGTATGACAAAGTAATGAGTATATTCTGATACTATATATATATATATATATATATATATATATATATACATATATATATAGTATAAGTGTATATCATACTATATATATGTGTACATATATATAGTATGATTCTAATTTGTATTGTGTTCATGTATATTCAAAACTTGGGCTCATTATTTATTATTTAAATGTTATACACATTTACCTATCATATGTAGAAACTAAATCATGGTAATCTCCTTGTAAATTATAGCTGTTTTTCTTTCTTTAAAACTTCTTTTTAGATGTTCTTAGATACCTGAAATATCCGTGATAATATGAAATATCACTGGGGAAATCCCACTGAACTCCATGTATCTACTCTTATCTATTGGGGTATCTCAGTCCTTCCTTTCATTGCCAACTTATTAGCAATAAGAGGCCATGCTCACTGTACTCGCTTTATCCACCTCCATTCAGTCCCCATGCCGTGGCTATTTCCACACTCTTGTCCTAATATTGCTATTAAGGAGAGACTCCCATCAGTTAGGAGGCTTGGTCTCCTAATTTTCAAGGCAAATTGCCACCTCTAGGTTCTTCCTTGAACCCATGGCATTTTATACTGTTTTCCATTATTTGATTCTCCAAAATCTGTATTCTTTTGCTTTCCAGGTTATAGACTGCTCCTGGCTTTCTTTCAACACAGTGTTTGCTTCTTCAGTCCATCCCATGTAAGTGGGTCCATCCATGTTGCACACATTACCTGAATTTTTAATTCCACTGGAAGATTTATCACGAAACCTGTAAAGTTCATCCTTTATGGCCTCTCACTTGCAATTTGCATGGGCTCCTTTGAAGGCCCTGGGATGGACCTTACTATTGAAGGATATATTTTTTTTAAGTAAGAATATGACTTTCAGAAATTGAAGAAGACACAGAAAGATGGAAGACCATTCCATGTTCATGGATCAGAAAAATAAACATTGTTAAAATGTCTATACTGCCTAGAGCAATCTATACTTTCAATGCCATTCCCACCAAAATTCCAACGGCCTTTTTCAAAGAACTGGAACAAATGATCCTAAAATTTATATGGAATCAGAAGAGCCCCCAAATTGCTAAGGAAATGTTGAAAAAGAAAACAAAACTGGGGGCATCACATTGCCTGATTTCAAGCTTTACCACAAAGCTGTGATCACCAAGACAGCATGGTACAGGCATAAAAACAGACACATAGACCAGTGGAACAGAGTAGAGAGCCCAGTTATGGATCCTCAACTCTCTGGTCAAATAATCTTTGACAAAACAGGAAAAAATATACAGTGGGGAAAAGACAGTCTCTTCAATAAATGGTGCTGGGAAAATTGGACAGCTATATGTAGAAGAATGAAACTCGACCACTCTCTTACACCGTACACAAAGATAAACTCAAAATGGATGAAAGGCCTCAATGTGAGGCAGGAATGCATCAGAATCCTAGAGGAGAACATAGGCAGTAACCTCTTCAATATCGGCCACAGCAACTTCTTTCAAGATATGTCTCCAAAGGCAAAGGAAACAAAAGCGAAAATGAATTTTTGGGACTTCAT